TCCATGACTTACTATTGGCAGCTCTCTCAGCCTTTGCAAATACAATAATGGCATCTTGTTGCCAACTCAACCCAGCATAATGTATCTTGCCTTTCATTTATATTTAGTTATTATTTTGGGTAAAGTTAGCAACTGTTAGCAAGAGTGAGTAAAGTTTAGACTTTATTTAAAGCAATAATTATTGCTTTCCAGCATTTTACTCCAAATATATCTCACTTGAAATCCCCTCTTTTCTCTAAAATGAATTCTTCGAAAGAAAATTAAAAATGGCAAAGTGGCTCCACGGGCCCCAGGAGCTTGAATTCCCACGATCTCCAAAGTTCTGCCTCCTGAGATAGACGGTGTGGGGAGGGGGGCCGGCGTGGGCGGGATATGCGAAAGTTGTATCCATAGGTCTGTGCACCACGGAGACCAGGGCAGCTTCCCTTCCAGCTGTCGGTAACTGGAAATCTTTGCTTCCGCTCTGTGTCTCCTGTCCTCTGCCTCTTTTCTTTGAAAGATGCAGACTTTCCCCCTTTGTTCCGAAGTTAAAACCGTTCCCATCTGCTTTTGCATCATTTGCCCTTTTTCGTTTGCAATGAGTTGGTGGGCGCTGATTTGTACTTATTTTCACTTGATCTTTAATTATCACTGGAGGATGAATGCACGAACATACCCATCTTGGGCCAGCGTACAGACATTCTCTTGGATAGTTTACCATCACTTGGCACTTATTACAAAAATGAAGAAACTGGGGTGGTGTGAGGTGCCTCGGTGATTCTTAACCTTGGATGCGTATCAGAGTCAGCCGGGTGATTTAAAGCCATAGATGCTGGTGCCCCACTTGGTGCCACATGGAGTCTGTGCACTGATTGTTACTCATCTTTGTCTGATGTCCAGGTAGGAGAGGATACTGGGTTAAGGAAATTGACCGAGACCATGGAGAGTAAATTTGAGCATTTTGAGGGTAGAGACTGCATCTAATTCATCTGGAGGCACCAGAAGGGAATAAGTGGAGGCACTAGTTAGATTTCTGATTCACACTAGCCCAGATCTGGAGCTTAGGATATTTTTTCAAAGCCACCATATTTGCTGCCCTTGGGATTTGTTTATCTTAAACATCACACCCAGTCCAGTTCTTAACTTCCAAGGAGAAACTGAGAGCTAAGTTTCTAAACCTCCTGTGTCCACAAAGAAGAAAGCTTTTGAGTTGAATTTAGATAATAAAGGTTCATAAGATAGATGATAATTTCTATATGAAGAGTCTGTTTTGTGTAATAATCACGTTATCATTTCATTTTAGAGCAGTGTTTTTGTTTTTTGTTTCTGTTTTTGTTGCTTAACTAAAAGAGAGGCTTACAACCATTAGAGAAATGGTTTCTTGTTCACATTCCTAAATATCTACTGCATGTTACTGCGTGCTGGGCATGATGCTCGTTACCATGGATACAACTCTGAAAAACACAGACAAGATCTCTGCTTCCACGGATCATGCATTTCAGAGTCGAATTCATTCAGACCTGGAAACTAAGTTTAGGAGGTTTTCCACAAGAGGAAAAATTCAGATGACATTATCAGGGTAGGATAATCGAGGCCAAGAGGGAGTGTTTTGAAACACTTGTTTTATTTATTCAGCCAACACTCTGCTTTGTGGGGCGGGGCAGAGGTGCAAATTGGGAGCAGATGCAAATTCTCACAGAGCCCTAACGGGAGAGAAACGACCCGTGCAGTGAGAGACTGAGGGGTCCTAGGAGAGAGACAGACGCCTGGGGAGGTTCCTGCCTTCTTCAGAGGAGGCGCACTCCCAGGTCCGGGTTGAGGAGGAAGGGGAGGGAGGAGGTGGGCGTAGCAGGAAAGTCCATGGGATTTGCCCTGAACCTGCCAGGATAAAGCTGATACTTGGCCTAAGCACAGTCACCATTCCCTGCAGGGTCTTTGCTTAGGAATGTGTATCTTCTGCTGGATAAATTACAAATAAGAGCAGATCATCTTTTCATTCTTTGAATGTTATTTGTCAGATCATCAGTGAACAGTTGAGCAGAACTCGTCTTCTTTCTGCGCCTTAAATCACTCACCTCCTTGTCTGCTCCTGCCCCTTAGTGCGCACACTGCACACACTCAACTCGTACACACGCTCACTCTGCCCTCTTGCCCCTCTTGCCTCCTCTTATTTGCACTCAAACCACAGGGTGGCTTTTGATGGGAAAAACAGGTTCCAACAGTGTGGCCTGTAGTACTGTTTTGTAGCCTCAAGTTAAAACTTTATTCCCCTGAATTAAGAGATTTTTTTTTTTTGAAACTCAGTGATCTGACATTAAGGAAAACCAGAATAATTCTCTCCGAGAGCACGTTCCTGAATCTTTGTCCCAGGTTGATTACTGCATTTATTACTTAAATAGGACATGAAAGGAAAACAAACAAACAAACAAACAAACAAAAAACCTGTTGGTAAATAACCAGAGGTACCATACTGGTCCCCGTTCAAATTATTCTGTTGTAACAAAACCCAGCAAAGTAAGCGAGCACTACGTGCTCTGTCAGTTTGTTATTGGCCTAAAGACTTTGTTTTAAATGCCAGATAGATTCCACAGTAATTAATCCATTTCAAAAACTAGTAGTTGTATAGCCATGGCTTCCTGTAATTTTATGTATGTTTGAAATGTTCATTTAAAAAACCACAGATCAAGTGCATTTTAACTCTTCGTGATCAATTAACGTCAGAGCAAATACCAAAGTGTGCAGTTTTGTCTTTTTAAGATGCACAGGAATTGATGATGAAAAGTGACCCCAGGAAATTAACACCCAGATACAATGGCATTATCTTCTCATTTCACACCGGGCTCTAACGAGGCATGGATGTTTGAATTGTGTTTTTAAACAAAACCTCATGGTTAATTTAACTTCCTGATCGTTTTGTATTCAAAATGAAACCTGCCAATAAAAACATATTGAAAATATTAAACATGCAGTACTAGATAAGATTGCCCCCAGAAAAAAAAAAAAAGCAAAGGAAAATCTTCCAAAGAAAACATTAGATTTGTTTAAATACTGTTGGAGCGCCCCTTGCTGGCTAGTTTGTATATTACTGTCTATATTCTTTTCTTCAGGGGTGTGGATTATTTCTACACTGCACACTTTAATGTGTTTTTCTTCTGGTCGATGCGTTTAAACGGGCACGTTTCTTTGTTGTTGGGGTCAGTGGCATCCGGGCAGGTTTAAGACGTTTACAGTTCCCTGTGTACTTCCTGTTTCATCAGACGTTCCTCCGTTCCCCTTGGCCCTGGGAGCTTCTTGTTTCTCCCTCTGGGTTGCTCTGTCCTTCTTTTGCTGGTCTTGCCTTTGCTTTTTCAATAATTGGTCTCACTTCCTGCGGGGCTCGATTTTCATGGGCCTTGGCGACATCCCTTTGGTGACGGACGAGCCTCTGGATCTTTTTGCCTGTGACTTCCCTGGGTGGTGGGAGGCGGAGGCCGAGGCCCCAGGCTGGCTCTTCTCCAAGGTTCCAGAGAAAATATCTGCGTTAGGCCACCCGCCTCCGCCCCTCACTCTTCAGATGTGCGCACTTCCAGCCTTCCCGTGAGCTCTGGGCTCATCCAGATAGTCCAGAGCGGAGCCGTAAAGAAGACAGGGACATGAGACAGATCGTGCAGGTCATTTATTTCAGTGGTTTGGTCCAGAGGTACAAACTGAGATGAAACCCGCACAACTGGGTGAGCGTGGAAATAATTGATTTTATGGAGTAGGCGCACGGCTTTGGTGACTTGAAGTATATTTGTAAACCGTGTTTAACCTAAAAAAAACTACTAAGTCAAAATAGCTCTTAAAGTGGCCCGTAGGAAATGTTTGTCAAGATAGAATAAAAGTTACATAACCTTCTTATTCTACATCATGTACATTATGGTGGATGAGACTTCCAGACGGGCATCATGCCGATGCAGCTTCTACCTCGGATTGATTTTTAAAATTGGAGTTCGCTGCCCAAAGTTTTCGGAAGCCCCCCCGCCAAGGTGCACACTTGGGAGCCCCACGTGGCTTTGACCAGCTCTTTGCCCCTCTGGTGTGCGAGGGAGGCCGGTTGTCTTAACAGGGTAACAAATCTCAAGAGAGAAAGAAATTCAAGCTTAAATCTGCCCCTGGGCTTTGTACCATAATAAAGCCTGATTAAAAAACAAAACCAAACCTCCTATAATCACTCTGCTGCATGTAGGACATATTGTTTTTACCCTCTTTACTGGTCTTTGAAAGACGTTGTCCTTGCGCAGTTCACAGCGTCCCTTCCGCAGCCGAAGGCGTACGCCCCTTCAGAGGGAGCGCCTCGCTCAGCTGCTATTCTTGGAGGTTGTAGTTTTAAGGACCCGAAGCCAAGGACGACCTCTTAAACTGCCCCTCATCTTGCCAAGTTCTCTAAAAGGAGTCTCTGGTGATCTCTAAAGAGCTGACGTTCTGGCCTTGCGTGTCAGTGACATGGCAGAAGGCAGGCGTTTTCCACCCCACACGCAACTGTGTGACCCTGTGGCTCACCGCTTGGGTCTTAGCCCAAGCTTTTGAAAACTTTCAGCCAACATACGTTACCCTGGACTTGTGTTAAATAGGTAAAGCCATTCTAGAGACTTCTCATTTCAAACAGGTTCTCTCCTTTTAATGAACTGACTCTGAAACCTTGAGTGTAAATGAAAACTTAGGATGAATGCGTTGCAAAAATGAGAGAGGAGGGACCGCTTTCTGAGAGGTGGCCGGGAGCGATTCCAAGGATGACCCAAACTCTCTCCGGGTTCAGTTTATTGTCACCAAAAATACAGCTTTTGTTAGTCTGCACAACCCAGGGTAATTATAAAACGCAGGTTTCTTTAGAATATTGGATTCGCGCTTTCGTGGGAAGGCGCGCTCCTCTTGTTTCGGTGAGTGGTAAATGAATGACTTGGGATAAATGAAGAAACCCTTTGCTTAATTTAACTATGAACAGTGTTGTGGCAGCCAATTCTGGCCACTCCATAAAGGCTTTTCCCCCCTTTCTATTATAGTGTTTCAAAGACCTCAGAGAAATTTGGAGTCTATAGACCCACAGTTTACAATTCGGAGGAAAATGGAACAGTTGAGAGAAGAGCAAGAACTGGTGGAACAACTCCGTGAGGTATTCAAGAAATATTCTGTAACTGATGATTTCCAAAATGGAAGCAGCATTCTATAAAGCTGACTCCTAAACAGCGTGGTTAGGGGAGCATCTGCCCCCCGCCCCCACCAAAGCAGTTGGGAATCCGAGTGTAACTTGTGACTCTCTGAAACCTTAGCTACCAATAGCTTGTTAACCAGAAGCGTTACTGATAATACCAACAGTTGATTAACGTGTATTTAGTATGTTATGTGTATCATGTACTATATTCTTACAAGATTCTTATAAGCTAAAGAAAAGAAGAGAAAATACATTCTCAGTACTGTATGTATTTATCAGGAAAAAAAAATCCACGTATAAGTGGGCCCATGCCATTCAAACCTGTGTTGGTTACAGGTCGACTCCACATTTAAAAACTTGAAGCACAGTAGGCATACCGAGTTTCAAATCTAGCCCGGTTACCTCCTGACTGCTTGATACTGGGCAAGTCACTTCACATCCCTGAGTGTCAGCTTTTTCACGTATTAAAAAGAAAAAACAGTTCCAATCTCCCTTAGTGTGGTTTTGTGAGTAATAGATGAGATAATGTAAGTAGAACTATTTAATGAATATATATAAGGCTCGTATGATTTCCATTCAGGTACACTTATAATAATGCCCTATTACTCACTTACTTAATAATAGTATTCCATTAATTTAGAGATGTTTATGGTTACCCCGACCAGTCTGAACTTTTTAATCAGTCATGAAACAGACAAACTCTTTTGAGTTCCCACCGCAGTGAAGTAGTGTGCTGGGTGGCACTGGAGATTTTAAGCTTTGTCGTGATGGAGACCATGGCTAATGTTTGACCGCTTCTTTTTGTCTAAGAAAACGGGGAAGAGAACAGCTTGTTGTCTCTTAAATCTGCCTTTCACGGCGCTAGGTCGGACAGTAAGTTTGTCCTGCAGTCCAGTATGAAACTCCCAGTATTTTTTGCAGATGGGATGCAAACTGCAATATGATGTTTGAGCTGGGTACCAAATTCTCATTTAATAATTTTCATTCATTAAATTTCCCCAAATTTCAAAAGAAAAACTACCACCCCTTGGCCTCTGATTTGAATACACAGTTATTTTATTAGGTGTAAGAGGGCGCTGTGCATCGTGTATCTATTCACATTTGTATATTTTATTAATTCTTCAGGGAAAATGCTACATCCCTTCAGGAATCCTTTGGTTGTCACCTTTTCCCCTTTTTAAATACATTCTTAATGGAAAATAAACTAGGAAATAATCCTGCTTGGAGGAAAAGAGAAAAATAGAGAAATGCAGTAGGAAAATAAATCATTGTTTATCCCACCGCTCAAAGACAACCACAATCAACACTCTGGCTTCCCCGGCATCCTTGCCCCATTTAAGTCGTTCTCGAGTTTTCAGCATCTCGTACACAGCCGCATTCTGAGATGCGCGTCGCCAGGCGGCTCCCCTGTAGAGCGCGCACCAGCCTTGCTGGTATTGCCCACTGCGCATCTGGGCTGGGCTGCGTGTGGGGCCCCAACCACCCTCCATCGCTGAAAACAGCGTCCTTCTGACCCCCCTCCCCCACAGATCATCGAGGTGAGACTCAAGGTCAGGCTGCACGAGGACCTAGGGGCCGCGCTCCTGGACGGGGTCGTCCTCTGCCACCTGGTCAACCACATCCGCCCGCGATCCGTCGCCAGCATCCACGTGCCCTCACCAGCAGTGGTAAGTGACAGCACGTGAACTGATGCTTCCATGAGAAGCCAACTCCTTGGAGGCGGTGTGGCCGGCCGAAGATGCCACGGCCCCCCCGGGACGCTGCGCAGTGGGGTCCCCCACCACTGGGAGGGTAGAAAGGAATGGGTGTGATGGAAGCAACGTTTCCACTGTGAAAAGGGACACTATTTAAAGTAAATACGTAAATGGCAGAAGAGGAATGTATGTCAGACACAAAGCAAATCACATCTAAGAGATCAGGTGCCAACTTTAAGACTTGAGGGACACAGAGATTCATTTCTCACAAAGGGTTATTTAAACAGTAAGAAGTCTGGGGGAAAGCAATTTTGTTGTTGTTGTTGTTGTTTTTGTTTTCTCTTTTTCTGGCCGGGAGCTTCTCTTTTGAATGGGATCGCTTTCCTTTATTAATTTTGGGGGATTTTATGGGAAAGCTCCGAAGACGTGTGGGTTCTGTGTAAAAGATCATTAGTAACCTGTCAAGCCAGAGGTGGGTGAACGAGTTGTTCAGCCAACAACCCCTGGGTCCCTCACGGCGCTCAGAGGGGCGTTGGAGGTACCAGGGGGCAGCGGGGAGCGTGAGGATGAGCGAGACCCCGTTAACGCCCCAGACATCCCGTCCCCTCTGTCGAGGACATCAAGCCAGCCCCTGGGCATGTCACCATCCGGAAGAGGGGTATGGAGTCATTTGCATGGTCAGGCAGCGGCGGGGGGGGGGGGAGTCCGGGACTGTCCTGGATGCCCAGGTAGGGTTCAGACGGCCAGAGAAGAGGGAAGAATTTCTAGCCACACCGTGTGCGGTCCTTTAGACGAGCCAGGGCGACAAGTAGAGGCGAAGAGCATGGGGTTTGGATTCAAATTCCAGATCTACTCAGGAGCCGCGTGTGTCCTGGGGGAAAGACTTTGTAACCGCTCTTTACCTCGATTTGCTTTTCCCTTCCATGGAAATGTTCTTGCGAGGATGAAATAAGGTGACACGGAGGATGGTCACAGGAATGCAAGCCCGTCTTACCGCCTGTGTGTGCAGAGCAGATTTGCACCGTTCAGAGCCCCTGACCTCGAGGGACAACGGGGCGCCGACCTCCCCCCTCCAGGGCAGCCTCACCCGGCGCCGCCGGTCGGCCTTGCCTCACTCTTACCTCCCGACCCCATTTCAGCCGCGGTGTGCGCGTTACACTACAGAGTGTACAGTATTTTTTTTTCCCCCCTTTGGAAAGTTTGACCACTTCGTGCTTCAGAAAACATAAGGGAAGAAAAGGATCAGTCTATCTTCTCTCAAGTCCGCCTCGAGCCACCTCACTCGGGCCGGCAGGGAGCTTCGCTCCGCGATCCCACGGGCGACACCCCGGTGCCTTTTACGGGGGGGACCCAGGCCGCTGCGACGCTGTCTGAGCTGAGCCCCGGATTCTCACGCAGTAGTTTCCTCAAATTATAAGGAAGAAACTATGACTCTTGAGCCTCGAATTTAAATGTACAATTACTATTTTATAAGCTGTAAGAAGATACGATGAATCATGCCTCTATATACATTTGTATATTTTATGAATTCCTCAAGAAAAATGCCACATCTTGTTTGAAATCCTTTGGTTTTCACCTTTTCAAATAAATTTTTACATGAAAATATAATGAGAAATAATACCTAATTGGCGAAAAACAGAAAATAGAGAAACTAGGAGAAAAAAACCAAAATCATTCCTTATCCCAGTGCCCAAAGACAATCACTGTTAACATTTTGGCTACCGTACTCTTAGCATTTTTTCTGTATTTAGGCTGGTTTTGAACTGTGAGCATCTCGTATATATTAATTAGTAGTTTGTAAAATTCTTAAAACCTAAGTATTTTCTCACGTCACTGAAATTCTTCCTAAACATCCATATTTAATGTAACATAATGTAACACATTTTAGAATGTAACATATTTTTGAAATGCAGGCCGTCCACTTGCCGAAAATTTGTCGGCAAGCCCCGCGAGCGAGCCTCTTTGACAAGGCCCTGCCCCCGGCCGCCCGGCGGGCCTCTTGCCCCCCGGGGAAGACTCCGAGGTGTGCTGACCACTCGGTCCGAGCGGACGGGGGCGCCTTCGTGCCCGAGTGGCCATCAGCCCGAAGCCTGGTCGTTTTTCATTCGCAAGGCCGGAGCCGTTCCTTCTCTGTGCCACGTCGAGGGATGGAGAGCCCCACAGAATCACTGTCCCTGTCAACGTGCCGAGTCCCTTAAAACGGATTTCCTCGGGCTTGGACAATTTGGTGACCAGCCACGGGGCTCCCAGTTGGTGTCATGTGTGTAATTTTTGATAGTTTGAACTGTTGTATTTGTAGCAAGGACTTTTCCCGCGGAAAGCAGGCGGCACGTGGGCCCTCCCTCACTCTCCAAAGGTGGGAAGGTAGCCTGAGACACACCTGCGTGGTTGACCTCGCTGGGCTGACCTGAATATGCGGAATGGTGTTGAGCATCTGTGGAATGTTACAGAGCGGACCCCCCGCCCCGCTCCCCGCACTGCCCCCTCCCCCACATCACAAGTAGACCAGTGAAGAAAGTGGGCCCGAAGGGTCAGACATCAGATGCCATGGTCCCATTGTGATCGACCGCCCCTCGGCATCCTGGGTGCAGGCCAGGACCCTTCGTCTGAGGCCCCCGTCACGTGACCCGTCTCCGGGCCCCCTCTTCGCGCGAGGCCGCGTGTGCGCGGCTCGTCCTGAGATGCGCAGGGCTAGGCAGAGCCCGACAGCTCCTTGGCCCGTCTTTGCTGGTCTCCTGTGGGGCGCACCTGTCCCTCTCTAGCCAACGAGGGGAATGTTCGGTTAGCGCCCACATCATAACTCATTCCACCTGGAAGCGGGCGCCCGTTCTCTTTTTCAGGGGGTGGGGTAGCGGCAGCCCCTTTTATTAATCAGTGCTGTGCAGACCTGGTTTTGTGAAGGTTGGCGTGGGCCCCCAAAAGACAGACTGAGTTCCTTGCTCCTCACCTGCTGTTGACAGGGGGCCACGCTCCCCAAAACATGGCTCCCCGACCTGGACTGCTGGAGTCGTTCACGCTCCAGGCCTCTTTCAGAAAGAACGAATAGTGGAATGTTGAAGTGTAGCAGTAAAGCTTTTAACACTTTCGTGTAAAAAGTAAAACATGCGACTCAAGATGTGTTCGTTGGCCGTGCCACACCTGGGCGGTCCCCCCGCCGGACCGGCTCTGTTGTGACGGGCCCCCCGGGGAAATCCTTCCCTTCCACCTTGTTCTGTGCCGTTTGTCTCGATGTGGCCTCTCTCCAGTTAAATACATGGCTTTAACAGGAAGGAGGTTAGTTGGCCTGGTGACTTTAACCCTTCATATGGAAATATATTTCCTGATAGGAGAAGGTGATGCTCCTAGTGTGTTTTCAGGTGAACTACAGTAGGTCACACAAAAGTACGGCCCCATAAAAACTGTGTGTGTCTGTGTACAGATATATGTATATGTACATACTTATGCAAAACATTTTGCATATACACACATGTATATACATGTATAGATATATATACATAGATGCAGAAGTTCTGCATATAAGACATATCTGTATATACATATATATGTATATCTTTATATACAAAAACATACACATGCAATGTCTGGAAAAATATAATCCAAAATAATAATAGCTTTATCTCTTGGTGGACATTTCTGGGTAGATAAGTAGTTCTGTGCTTGTATATATTTTTTTCAGTAAACGTGTATTATCATGCCACTTAAAAGTTTAAAATGTAATGTTTTATTAAAATTATTTTTTAATAATTCATTATTTCTGCACATTTGCATTACAGCCCAAGCTTAGCATGGCCAAATGCAGAAGAAATGTGGAAAACTTTTTGGAAGCATGCCGAAAACTAGGAGTACCAGAGGTAACATCAGACTTCTTCAAATAACTGTGTTTCAGTAGAGATTTTATTTAATATGTGCGTTTGAACCCACTGAATAGACGTACGACTTTGTGCACCCTTTTTCATTTGAGTCTTTCTTAAGGAATGGTATTAAATAAGTCATATAAAATTTTAGTTTAAATTGCCCCATTGCAATGAAATAAAAATGTCTGAAAACAGTACGGTCCATTCTGAGGAAAAGGGGAATTTAATTCCTTTAAGATTTTAAAATAAGCGTATCATTTCAAACTTGGAAACAACCTGTTTACTGAGCTCAGTTTTCTGCTCCAAGAGCAGAGCTGCCGGGGCCTCGGGGAGCCTTCAGCCAGGCCCCGGAGGGTAGGACTTCTGAGCTGATGGTTTTCCTCATCAGAGCTTGTAAGCAGGCACAGCTGTTGTAGTTGACACCTAATTAGTTGGTTTTCAATCCCTATAGTTGCATTTTGGGTATGTGGACCAAAATAATCAGCATTAAAAACATTAACTTTTATTATTATTAATCATTACCATTAATAATAATAACGTCTGTGTGTTGCTTTATAGTGGGCCAGCTGTTTGCGTTTGCCCACGCCCCCGCTTCGGTGCGCCGTGGCCCCGCTGGGCGAGTCGCCCTGGCCTGCCCCTGTCTACTCTGCTCCTTCCCTTTCTCGCAGGCGAAGCCCAGCCTCAGCCAATGGGGGGCTTTTAAAGACTTTGCTATTAGTGATGTAAGGTGGATTTTTTAGAGAGACAAAAGCCAATCCACTCAGAATTTGGGGGTAAGTTGAGAAGTTTTTAATCATGGCGATGAGCAGAAATGGACAGGAATCCTTTTTTCTTGTCATTTCTCCTATCTTTTCTAATGTTCCAGGGATAAAGCTGCTACAGGCTCTGCCGTGAGATACTGTTTTCGAGTCTGCGAAGCAATTGCATTTTACTCCTTGACAGGAGTTAGCAATTGCAGTTGAGAAAGGCTTCTCTGCCTGTCTCCCTCCCCCCTTCCTTCCCTCCTTCCTTTCTTTCCTCCCTTTCTTCCTTCTCTTCCTCCTTCCTTCTTTCCTTCCTCTCCTCCCTTCTTCCTTCCTCCTCTCCCTAATTTTTAGTTTGGTGGGGGGTTAGCGGTGGGCTTCTTATCTCACTTGAAGAAAATGTTTATTAAAACATCATTAATTCAGAGCTGTTGTATCAACAAAAAGAAGCTTACAGATTTATTTTTTTTTGAGAGAGTGTAATCTTTGTATATGGACTGCATGTCTTTGTGATCAATTCGAATGTCTTTCAGCGATGTTAATCTGTGTATCTGTGGAGTATATGTACATTTTAGTAGTGTATATACATTCTTGGCTCAAGGTATTTGTGGAATTCTTATGCACGGAGCTTTTACAGTAATTTCATTCTGTCACGGGCTAATGAGATTTCCCATGTGTGAGTCAGAACTGTCAGGCCGCATCATGGTGAGTTATTCATGTCTGAGCCGGAAAGCACTGATGAGTTATGACCTAGTCCCGTGTGACATTTTTAAACTCATCAAAGGTTTTTTGGCTTGCGGAAATACAAAATGAAATGGAAATGCACTTCATCATTTATTGTGAGTCAAGACTGCTCATTCTGATTTCCTTTTAAGGGAGGCAAATGGAAATTACCGAAGTGCAGAGAAAAATTTATTATAATTTTTGAATTATGCCTCCAGCACTAATAGGCATCTCATAATTCCTGAGAATTACAAGGAGTAAACGACTCTCTGCCAATATTCCACTTAGGCTGTTTTTAGAATTGCTTTTAAGATTTGAGGTGATGTTTAAGTTTTCATTGTGTATATGTGTGTGCGTGTGTATATATGTACTTATATATTAATCCTGATACAGTCCAATTGCATTTTGCTGGTGACTAAAGTTACAGTAAAGTCATTACTACTAGAAAATAAGTCTGTTGGTTAGTTTTAGTTAGCAGTTGAATTTCTTTAACAAGATATGTTAAAAGAAGGAAGGAATATTCTAGTGGAAAACCAGAAATTGCCAGAAGCAAAGTGGCAAAACTTCCTGCTTTTCATCTCTCTCACAGAATGGATGAGGAATAAGTTAATGGAAGTAAGAAAATGTTTTCATTAGGAGTATGATGCTGAGTTGGAGGAGGGGGGAAACGACACCCTCCCACTTAGATATAGTTATATGTCTTTATCGAGGTAAGAGCGTTGATGTTTCGAGTGTGTATGTGGCACACTACAATTGGTGATTTACACTAAAAATATAGCAGCAGTCTAGTTGAAGAAATTCTTCACTTGTAATCAGACATTTAAAAAGACTGGTACCAATGGAACAGAATTGAGTGTCCAGAAATAAACCAGCCTGTATGGGGGCGCAAATAATTTTCGACAAAGGACTCAAAAATGTACAATGGAAAAATAAAAGAAGCCTCTTCAATAAATGGTGCTGGGAAAATTGGAAGGCCACATGCAAAAGAAGGAAACTACACTACTCTTTGTCCCTATATACAAAAATTAACTCAAAGTGGATCAAAGTCCTAAATGTAAGACCCAAAACAATAAATTACATAGAAGAAAATAGGCACTAAACTTATGGACCTTGGTCTTACAGAGGATTTTATGAATTTGACCCCAGAAACAAGGGAAGGAAAGGCAAAAATCAATGAATGGGACTATATCAAACTAAAAAGCTTCTGCAAAAGAAACCATCAACAAAGCAAAAAAGGCAACCAACCAAATGAGAGAACATATTGGCAAACAACACCTCCAAGAAGGGGTTAATGTAAAAAAAAATGTATATAAAGAACTCATACAACTCAGCACCACAGAAACGATTCAATTAAAATAAAAAAATGGGCGGAGGACCTGAACAGAGAGCTCTCCCAAGAAGACATAGACAAATGGCCAACAGATACATGAAAATTAGGGAGACGCAAATCAGAACTACAATGAGATGCCACCTCACGCCTGTTAGAATGGCTGTTGTTGACAAGACAAGTAATACCAAGTGCTGGAGAGGTTGTGGGTAAAAGGGACCCTCGTTCTCTGCTGGTGGGAATGTAGGCTGTTACAGCCACTATGGAAGACAGTATGGAGGACCCTCAAAAAATTAAGAATAAAGTTACCATATGGCCCAGCAACCCTTCTGGGTATCTACCCAAACCACTTGAAACCTCTTCTTTGCAAAGATCACTGCAACATTATTCACGGTGGCCAAGGCGTGGAAACAACCCAAGTGCCCTTTGATAGAATATTGGGTCAAGAAGACATGGTTCCTATATATGCACTATGGACCACCACTCAGCCGGGAGAAAACATGAAATACTGCCATTTGCGACAACATGGACAGGCCTTGAGAATAACATCGTGTTAAGCGAAATAAGTCAGACAGGAAAAGTTAAGAACCACACAATTTCACTCATAGGAGGGATATAAAACTGAAAGCAAAAAATGAACGAACCAGAAAAACAAAACAAAAATTCATAGGCACAGAGAACAGTGCGGCGGATGCCCGAGGGCAGGGAGCGCGGGGGTGGCAGTGAGGGCTTAAAGGGGTCCAGTACATGGTGGTGGACGAAGATGGGCCGTGGGGCCGTGGGGGCACACAGCCATGTGCAGAGGGTGCATCATAGAATTGTTCACTCGAAACCTATTTAATTTTAGTAGCCAGTGTCATCCCAATACATTTAGTTTAAAAACAAAATAAAAAGACGTATTTAAAAACAGAGGATCTGTAACATCACTGTTTCTTACTTGCAGGAGACTTAATATTTGGGAAATGAAATAGTCATTGACTTCCCAGCTACAAACAGTTAATTTCTCCTCATTTGGGAGCTTCTCTGGCTTTCCCCTCTATCCCTAACTTACACCCCGAAGTCACAGAGATCTTGAGCTCTGTGTTTTTTAACTGAACACCTCATTGACAATAACACATCATCCCGAAGAGAGTGAAAAGCCACAGCTGCGCTCTCAGCCTGACGTTGTTGCCCTTGGTAACGGCGTGACAGCCAGAAACTACAAGCCCAAGTCCAGGTCGGCCGCGTATATCATTGTTCACATGGATGGGATGTGGTGGCTGAGCAGATTTAGCGACGTTACCCATGTAAAGTAACGCAGGGGTCTGTTCCAGCTGTGATGGCTCGCTGTGTTTCCTTTGGGGTCCCAGGGACGCGTTCCCAGGTGTCTGCCTCGGCGTGGCCGGGCCCTGAAGCCTTTCGCTGCGTGCCGCGGCCCAGCGGTTCTGGAGGGGCTGACCTCTCGGCACGGCTGCGGCCCGGTCGCACGGTGCAAGGTCCGGGTTGTGCGCAGGTTAGAGGGTGCGGAAGGGTCAGGCCTTCTGCTCATGGTGACGCTGGAGAGGGGCTGGGCTGATACCCTCGAATGTCAGGCCAAGGGGCAGGAGTCTCAGGGTTGGGTCAGTGGACGCCGCAGACAGAAGCCACTGGGAGGGTTCTGGAGAAGTTCTGCGGGAGCGGCAGGGGCCTGGTTGCCAGCCGCTGCGGGGCGCTCGGAGTGAGGAAGAGGCCTCGTTGACAAGAATGCCAAGGAGGCCTCGCTGCACACGGACCAGAGACCTCACTCACTGGCGTTTCTTTTTCAGGACGGGAGCCACCGTTTTTACGAGAGTTATGGCGGCAGGCCATTGCCCTTTCCGCTGCCCGCTCCGTGGGCCTGGCGTTTTGGTTTTCTGTTTGGGGCCAGTCCCCCCATTAAAGCGACACAGATCAAGGGAGCCTAACCTGAAAGAAGAGCGAGTGGCGAGTACCCGTCTGTGAGCAGAGCAAGGCAGGCGCGAGGTTTGGGGTGAAGCGGCCCCCCTGTGCTGTGACCTAGTCAACCAGGAGGGCTAGCTGCGGACTGAGGCCTTCTCCTACGGGCGTCGTCTCCATGGCTCTCTGTTGAGGATTGTTTTTAGGCATAAATTTCTTTTTTATCACTTTATTTTTTAAAACCTTTCCAAGCCAGTCGATTGGGGTGACATTGGTTAAGGAAGTCACACCCCACTGTTGAGGATTTGAGGTAGATACGTTAGTGCCATAGTGTGAGCGAGCTGCGGTCCGGCGGGGTCAGGCCATTTCCGGAGCCGCACCCGCAGCGGGAAGCCGCCGGGCCGGCGTTGGAACCAGCGTCTCTGCTTGTACAGAACCTGCCCCGTCTCCGGCGCAGACAGGCTCCCTGTGCCTGGGCTCCCTGCAGGCGTTGGACGCCGCAACGGATTTAAACCTCATTCTCCAGAGCCCTTGATTCTCTTGCATGACATGCCGGGGAGGCGAGGGACAGCCCAGCGGGAGTCTGACCCCCACCCCCTGGCTTCTGCCGGAGCCGTTCTCTGTTGCCTGTGGCGTAGGTTGGATTTCCAGCTAAGCTTTCCTTGAGGGGAGGAAAAAGGGTCCTGTTGCTAAACATGGCTTGAAAATCACCGGACCCGGTGGCCTCCTGGAGCTCTCCTATCCCCTGGAAGCTCAGTGACGTCCTGCAGTCCCGTGACCCCTTTCCTCGTTCCCAGCTGCTTAGCTGCACGACACTGGCCGCCACATCCGTGTCCTGGCGCCTGGGAACACCGTGGGATTGGGAGATGTCGCGGGCTTCATCCCCTGGTCCCTTGTAGTGTCGATGCCCGGGGTCAGACTTTGCAGTTGTCTGTGACCTCTGGCGCAAGCTTCCCCTTGATCTTGAAGATGCCTCTGCCCTCACTGGGCTTCTTCAGGAACTGCGTGTTCTTTGTTTCGCCTAAGAACCTGAGTCCAGCTGAGCCGGGGAGTCATGGGGCTCTTTATGGACGCACTGAGGCCTCCTTTGTCTGTCCTGAGTCAGCTTGGCCCTTCCCGGCCCCTGTCCTCAATGTGGGGGCTCCATGGGTGGCCATTGCGGGTTTCCAATCTGGTCCAAATGTAAGGCTGTTGTAGTATTGATTCTGGTTGAGAGAAACATCTGATTTATGAAACATCAAAGGTATTTTAAAGTAGGCATTTATTTGCTTCACTAGGGAAATTTTTCCATTCGATTTTAAATAAATAGCTTTGGCCTCATACCTCTTTCAAGAGCAAGATTCTCCCTTAATTTAACAGACTTGTCCTTTTTTTGCATGAGGAGGGAACGCAGACTGGAAATGCACTTTGTTTCCCAGACTCCCATCCTTCATAGTCTTCATCGCTGGCGGAGAGAACAAGGAGCCAAGGCAGGAGGGCAGCGGCCCTGCCGGTGGGCGGGGCAGACACGTGGGTGGTCCCGCCCTACCCCCGCCCCCCAACCTGCCTGGGAAGCCAGGGCCTGGCCACCCTGCAGCGCAGTGGGAGGTGGGAGGCAGGAGGTTCTCATCCTGTGTCCACAAGGATAGGTCACTTGCTGTCTCTCAGCTACCGCATCAGCCACGTCAGTTGAAACTAGAGTCCTGAAGTACATTCCGATGCTAATGATGGTCGCATTGGCAAAGGTGGAATTACCGCTGAGTCTGGTGTTCAACAGCTTTCCTATCTGCTTTTACTCTCTTATAGTGGGGGATTATGTTCAAAAGTAACGGTAACAACTTTCCTACTTTACACACGATTTTGAGAGTTTAGGACATTATACCTATGTAACTTTTAAAGACATTTTATAACTTGAATCTACCATTTCTTTTTGTTTGTTCCTTGAGAACCTTGAGAATAGGAGAAATGAGTTCTTTCTCCTCTTTGAGTCTTATGCCTCTTTTCCTCCAAATCCAATGATTTTAGTATCATTTTAAATCACAGCTAATGAACACTTTTGGGGGGAGGATGAGATTCTTCTTATAAGATTTATTTTAATATTCTATTTATATTGGTTAATTCTGAGGTCGAATAATCAGAGGTGCAGACCAATAGATTTATTATTTTTTTAAGAGCTCATTTTCTTTTTTTTAAAAAAAGATTATTTATTTATTTTTAGAGATTGGAAGGGAGGGAGAAAGAGGGAGAGAAACATCAGTGTGTGGTTGCATCTCACGCGCCCCCTGCTGGGGACCTGGCCGGCAACCCAGGCCCTACACTGAGAATCGAACCCGTGACCCTTTGGTTCTCAGGCCAGTGCTCAATCCATGAGCCACACCAGCTAGGGCATGTTTATTACTTTTTAACATCAGTTTTTAATATGTAATTTATTGAGAAGAACCAGGGTCTAGCCTGCAAAGTCAGTCACATTTCTTACAGGTAGCATGTATTTGCCATGACGAAGGTCCGTCCCCACTGGGTGTCTTCTGGTGGCAGTCACCTGCAGTCACTGGTCTGACGGCCTCTCACGCATGCACGACTGAGAATAAACATTTTAGAAGTGGTATCTTCAAAAAGTTTTAAATGACATTTCAAGATAAATTAGCTCATTACCACTGTCATGGAGCTGTTCATAAAATTGGCAGTTCTTATATACTTGGAGAAAATTCCAGAGACCCTTTTCATACCTGACTCTACACTCTGACAAATTGCACTTTGTCAGTTAAGAGCTTTAAACTGTCAGAAGGGCCATCACCATCCCTGTACTATGATATTTTAAACAAAAAAATCCCCAAAAACCCCACTTTGTAAGTATATTGACTTTCAAAATTAAAGTATTAAATAAGTTGAGTATATTCTAAATTTCTCGGGATTCAGACGTGGCTACACGCAGAACGCCTGTCAGCTAGGCCTCTGCCAGCGCCGCCCACCTTTCTGTTTGTGTCGGTAGCGTCTGGGGAACCGGAGGCAACTGCCAACAGTCAGTCGCACGCTGGCCGTGGCCCCGGGGGGGCTGGGGGGGGGCCCGCTCCTCCCCTGGCGATGTGACTTCTGCCCTGGTAATGAGCATCGGCTGCTGCACTCGCCTCTAGGGACTCTGAGTAGATTCACTGTGCCTCTCCTGCCTGGCAGTAATTACTGGTGCTCTGTAAATGCATGGTGGCGTTTTGCCTTTTCTAAATTTCCTTCCTTTTTAGTATTTTCCTATTGTAATTTTAAGGGAGAAAATCGTGCAATCTCTAAGCCCCTCTCGTTAAGACTGAAATCTGGGAGCACAGGGGTCCGCAGACTCCGGGGTCCCTGGCAGTCCCAGCCCGGAGCAGGGGGATGCTCGGTGGACTCGGACAGCGGCTCTCCGGCCGTCGCGGCCCGTGCTCCACACAGGACAGTCCCCAACACACCTTTCCCTTCAGAGGTCGCGCTTGAATTCAGACCGATGGCCATGGGCTGTGAGTGTAAGCCCCGCCTGAGTGCAAGTGTCAGTAGAGCTCACAGTCGGGGCATCAGGGAACTGCTCCTGATATCGGAAGGCGTTGCCCGCCTGCCGGAGGGGTGGGTGCACCGCAGGCTCCGGAGGCGAGCTGGCTCGAGCGCCCTGGAGGAGCTGCTTTCCACAGCGTTTGGGGAAATTACTGAAACATACGCCGGAGGTAGAATGATGTGCTTTTGACCCAGAAATACCACTTTGGTGAAAATCACATTTTAGTTAGTGGATGCTGTTTGTCTTCTGTCTGCTTTGCTTGGATTTCACTGGCTAAGCACAACGTTGCAATAGAGAATTTGTATTGCAATAGACAGCTTCTCTTAGCTCTCTGTTCATGTTAATCTTTGACTCGCATGTCTCTCCCAGTGAAATTCAATCTATGTGTAGATGTTTTAGTGCTTGGGAAAATAATCGTGGTCGCTTGATTCTCCCAAATCTACTGGGAAGAGACACAATCTCAGTAGATAGAACATGCTTTGTTGTCTTGAAAAATCTTCTGTTGAGCATCTCTACCGTCATAAATAAAATGAGAATGTTTTTAATCCTACTTAACCCACTTTATATTGTAGTGTTCCTTCTTACCTGAGGGCATCAGAGACAAAAATCTCTACCTTGCGATAACCTGTCACCTGCTCTGTGCTTAGCAATGAAACTAAAACACGGGGCAAAACTGTATCAAAGTATGTTATAAAATGCATACTATATATATTTTCAATGCTTTGCCTAATTTAGAAATAAAGCTGCATTTATGAACTATATCACAAACAGCTTCAATCCTTGTTTGATTTTGACACAGAACTACAACTTCCTTCATACTGATGTAGCGATTGTAATCCCTCAGCTACTATCACGTCTGTTCCAGGAATTCAGTGTGTCAGACAGCTGTTTGCTTCCTGGCGGGAGCAGGCATGTAGAGGTGAAACCAACACAATTGTTGCATTTAGATGATAAAGTAAGCGCTCTGCCTCCTTCATGGTGACCTAAAGCGGACAAAACCTGCATGGAGGTCTCTGCCCATCCCGCCCCCCACCCCACACACACCTGTTTCATGGTGAAGAAATTTACAAAATAACCCTACATGGGAACATACTTTTATTCTAACCTCGTATCTAATACGTCTCCTCGGGATTGGGATGTAGAGTTGCAAACACATGAAATGTAATGTCTTGTTTGACACACGGAGAGATGTCATTAGAACTAGCATTCCCCAGAGCTTATCAGTGATCCTAAAAGGAAAATAAGTTAAATGTATATGTTCCGTTTCAGGGAGAGAGAAACTTTATATTCTTCATAAACCAGGGTAAAAAAAAAAATGCATTAAAAGGATGGTGAGGAAAGGTGGGGACTAAACAGCGAAGTTTATAGATCTGTTTTTGTTCATAAGCTTAAGACATAAATTTCCCAAGTGAAAAACTCTGACTTATGCCATCAGTGAGCACAGGGTAGCACTTGAATATTAAAACTGTTATATGCCCGGAGGATGTGTACGTTGCAGAACTTTCTCTTCCTTGATAGTGAGGCTGGGCGTAGAGGAGCTCTTCGCCCTATTGGCACAGAACACGTTGTGTACGCTGCCTTTATTTTGGAATGAGGTTTGAAAATCTTTGATGGCGGAACGGGCTTTACCTGCCTAAAGTAAGAGGCTGCTCTTGCCATTTGCTAGTAACCAGAACTGTGTGCTTCTTTCCAGCTGCTCCCTGTGTTTTTAATCGTGTGCACTGTCTCTTTCTGTTCTGACGGCTGCCCTCGGAATAGGCTGACCTCTGCTCTCCCGGTGACATCCTGCACTTGGACTTTCGTCACATTCGAAAGACTGTTGACACCCTGCTGGCCGTCGGGGAGACAGCCCCGCCGCCACCTCCTGCCCTCCGCGCCAGGGACCTTCTAAGCCTCTTTCTTGTACACATTCTCTGTGTGGTGCTGATCTATGTCACCTACCACTGGAGCACTCTGTCCGCATAGCGTCGCCCGGCGGCCCCGCCGCCTGCTCTCCCTCTGGCCCCGGGTCCCGCCTCCACCCGCGCCTTTGCCTCGCAAACTCCCCCCCGCCCCCCCAGGTCTTCGGTAGCCTCTGCAGCGTGGGAGCCGAACACTCACAAATCCGAGCTCCCAAAAGCACAAGCCCAGTAGAGTGCAGTCCCCATTAGGTAACCGCCTGAAACACAGCGAAGTGCATGCAAACCTCGCGCTACCTCACGCTTGGTCCTCCCCGCGGCGCCAGCGGGTCCTCCTCCCCGCCCGCTGGAGGTCCCGGCGCTGGGTGGAGTGCGAGAAGCTTCCCGAGCGGGAGCAAAGGGGAGTGTGAACATCTTTCCTTTGCACTATTTACGTCGAATCCAACCTGATTCGGGGCGGGGCCACGGGGCTGCGGAGGGATCGCCCCCGCCCCCTCCCCCCACTTGCAGGGGAGGCAGCATTTTGGTCTCCACAGACCTTTAGTAGAAGCACAACTGACCAAGTAGGGAAATGCCATTTAGGGGATGACTGCGTTGCTGGTCCTTCCGTGGGATTCCTCGGTGCGTCCTGCCGCGAGGGGCCCCTGCGCGGGAGGCTGCGCGCTGCGGTCCAGAGCCCGCCGGTGCCCGGCTGCCGGGCGGAAGGGGCGCCGGGGAAGGGAGGGGCCGTCTCTGTTGGAGCGCCCCCGGCAGGGTTTGCTTGCACGTCATTCCCATATGTCTTTTTCGTGGTTAGCCTCTTAGAAAAGTGCTTTCCAGAAGAGAGTTCTATTTTTAAATACTGTAATAGGTCACTTCGGCTTTTCGCCACATCCCATCATAACAGCAGGTCCAGAATTGGATGGATTTGCCTCGATTTGTTTTCAGATAAAGCCGTGAGGCATGGAACATTCTGGGTCCTGGGGCCTGAGTTATGCCGGCAGGAGCTAATAATAAGATTGCTCTTATTTTAGAATAATGTCTCTAGTGACCTTAAATTTCCATTTAGCTTGTGTTAGCAAGCTGCTTTATTTTTAAGCAAGCTTAAAGGATTATATATTATCAATATGTCTGCTCTGGAGCCATCTGATCAGCTTGCAATTAAAAGATAAAACCAATAGACTATCATCTAGGCCAAGATATTCCTGGTTCTGGGATGTCTTTTTCTAATAGGTGAAGGCCGTACCCCGAGGTTAACACAGTTTCCCCTGTTTTTCAATCTACAGCTCACTGCTAAATACTGTTCATTAAATTGGGGAGCTGATGGAGTTAACTCCCTCACGATAAATTCCTAGTTTACTGAGATGCAAGGGGTCTTCCCGGACGGCTACTAAGATGATAACTTGATTTTCATAACCGTTTCCATGAGTCCAGGAGAGTATATTTACAAAGATTCTTTGTTGCTAAGTCCTCTCGGAGCTTCTAACAGGACACATCCCTGACGTGATAATGTCTTGAGATAACTGAGCTGCTTCCTTCTGATTTTGTGTTGACGGGCGAAACGCAGGGTATATGGACGTTACCGAACGAACCTCGGTCGTGTATAACTAACCTGCAGATGTACTGAATGCCTTTGGTGCTGTCTTGTACTCTTTGGTCTGTAACGAAATAAAATCCCTTTGTACAATGTCTGGCAAGCACCCTGAGCCATAAGTTGCCTAATAAACACATTTTGGGTGATGATTCCGCGTTTTCATCGGCCCGGCGATGCGTGTATTTGTGCATACCCACAGTAGCCCTCCGCACTTCGTCCGGCTCCGCGGTGTGTCGAGGCTTCCTGTGAAATGATCACCACTGGTTGTTTCTTTTTCTTCTTTGTGTTTGGTGGGCGGGGGGCGGGGGGCAGGTGGCGAACGAGGAGAACAGAGATGCCTCCCTGGGCGGCCACCAGAAAGAGAATTTTATCAATAAAAACCGAGTAGACCAATCACGTGAGAGCAGGTTTAATTTTCTGTGTTGAGCTGACATCGTTCTCTAGCAACACTCTTATTTTCCGTTCGGTATCTAAAGTATTTCTGGACACACTGCCATCCTCACTTCATGACTGCGTCGGAGCCCTGGTGTGCGGCTCCTCTTGGGACCTGTTGGATGGTACTTTTCCATCAGGTAGCGTGGAAGCTCACAGAACACAATTAATTTAGCCCCTTAGGCAAAACTGTGAATGGACTGTCTTGCCCGTCGTCAAGCCGTAATTTCCATTCGGCATGTTCAGCCTGTCCATGGGTCTTCCCCACAGTGCCCGTGCGCCAGCTCAGCGATACTGCCTTTGCCCTGTGCCTGGGGACAGCGGGCCGACCCACTCGTCACCTGAGAGGCGGTCAGGGACCGAGCTGTGGGGTGCACATACGTAGCACACTAAATCTCCCTCCTCTGACGGGAAGGACCTTCTTTCATTTCCAGCATGTCCTTCCCGTGCCTGATAAACAGGACCATGTACTTACTTACATTTTCTTTTTGAAATAGAAAGTTCTTTCTCCAGTTTCTTCAACGGGTGGCAGCTCGCCGCTCAGTGTCAGGATTTCCATAGTGTGTGACAGCTAGTTCCTATTAGTTCCCCCAGACTGTGGGTTTGCCGTTTGTATGCAGTTTACTGTCCTTTGGAAGAGATGCTTACAAAACGGGGCTGGTGACAAAGGGGGCCCTGCAGCACCCAGAAGTGAGGGACCTGAGCAGCAATTCCATCAATGAGAGCAGGTCCGGAAAGGCACTTGGCAACTGATGCCGTTGTGGGTAGGAAATTGTAATCCTCATGCCCTGTCCTAAGGACAAAAGGTCATAGGGACAAAAGGTGTTTCGCCTTCAGGGTGAAGGTGACGGACTATGGCTTCAAATTTCAGGAACCTAAAATGAGTCCAGATTAGGGGGAAAAAAACATTTCACTATGATTTTAGTGAGAGGCTTTTTTTTCTTTAAGTGAGGCTTCAGGTTTTGGAGCTAGTTCTCACTGAACAACCGGTTCAATGCCTTTTTCTTTCACTATTAGGGTCCATCCGGTCCCTTGGGTTTTTACTGCAGTTTTGTTCACACCGGTGTTCGTTGATTCATCCCTCAAATACTGAATGAGCACTCTCCCTGCGAGGCACACAGTAGGCCTGGGCCGGGAAAAGTGACCGTGACAGATGACCCTGTCCTCAGGAAGCTGCAGCAGCCTAGACTGGGAATCAGCCAACTTTTTTCTGTGAAGTGCTAGATAGTAAATATTTGAGGTTTTGCGGGCCATGCAGGTTCTGTTGTGACTGCTGACCATTTGCAAATGAATGGGAATGGCTGCATTTCAATAAAACTTTATTTGCAAAACCAGGCTGCAGGCTGAAGTTTTCAGACAGTGGGTGTAGTGGGTCCAGGGGACAAATAAAGAGGGACGTGGTAGGGTGAGGACTGTGGTAGATCAGGCACAAGACTCTGGACCTGGCCGTGAGGGGTGGCGGGCAGGTGGTCTGTGGAGCCCCCGGAGCCGCGATATTCACCCCGAGACCTAAGAGAGGCGTGGGACTAGCCAGGGGGCAGGGGTGCGGGTGGGGAGGTGAGCGGAGGGCCTGGAAGGCAGCGTGGCGGCGAAGCAGGCGGGCAGCAGCGGACGTTCTGTCTGGGGGCGTTTGCCGTGGTCTCCTGAGGCAGAGCAGGAGCGTGGAGCTGCCTTAGGTCGGGACACTGTGGACCGCCGTGTGCTGGGTCCAATCGGTCTAGCGCCAGGCGTTGACATTTTACAAACAGGCTGAATGAGCCGAGATGGGCTGACGGGAATGGGGCCACGCTGCCCGGCAGTTGGCCGGCACGTGGGTGGGCAGCGGTTGGGGAGCGCGGGAGACGACAGAAAGAGGACAGCCAGGCAGTGTCGGTGGCGGCAGGCTGCCTGCTCCTGCTGTGCGTTTCCTGCCGGGACAAGACGTCTGTCCCGCACGGTGACAACTGAGTGGCAGAGCTGATGCCTATCACCGAGCTGACGCTCCCTGGGCGCCCCCGCCTGACGTCAGGTGTGTCGGGTGTTGCCAGGATAGCACCCTGAGGGGCCAGAGCCTCTTCGGTCTCGTGGGCACAAGACGGGACGTACTCGCTTGTCGATGAAGCACGTTCTGGGAGGCAGCCTTGATTCGAGTTGGAGACACGCGCTCAAATCCTGGGTCCAGTACTTACCAGCTGTGTGTCTTCCGCGAAGTTACTTACACAAACTCTCCCCATCCCAGTTCCCTTGTCTGTAGAGTAAAGGTAGTAATTCAGGAATATTCGGGACTGAACGTAAGGAGACACTTGGGCGTAACCCTCGTTTTTAGATTTCTGTCTGTGTCCCTTGCCCCATGTGCTATCAGACTCTTACCATTTTCCTGACTGATTTATTGAGCTTGTGTCATATAAAACCCTTACAATTTGATGCAAATACTTTTGTACAGTGGTTTTTATCTTTTAATTAAAAAGATAGGGGTTTTGGCACATGGGAGCTTTAAACTTTTAAGCAATTCATTGTTTTTATCCTTTTCCTTGTGGTTTTTCTTATATTGCTTTTTTTAGCTTAGAAGAGCCTTCCTGGTATTTTTATAAAAGAAAATACTATATACTCATCTATATTTTATTAGGAGAGGTTAGGAGAGATGGTGGTGTTGTTGGGTTTTTTTCGTTTTTGTTTTTTAAACAACTCTTTAATTCATTTCAGATTGATTTTAGCATAGGGTATAAAGTGAAGATTTCATTTTTTCCCCAAGCAGTGCTTTGCACTAGGAGCTTAACCGTGATTGGTGGCCATTTATAATTTCCTACCAAACCGGATGTTGACTTGTTGCTGTGGGGTCATAAGAATGAGAAAGACACGTCCCTGTCATTGCCAAGGAACCAATTTGGCAATGACGTGCCAGATGCAGGGGACCTCACCAGCCTGTGGCATCAGGAAAGGACACACGATGACCTCTGGCTGTGGCACAGGAGGAAGCCCACTGTCCACCCTGGGCCAGGGCACAGCGTCCCACTCACGCCTCGGGTTGACATTTGGCTACTCCATGGGCACGGGCTTTGACCCGCGTGCCCGCCTACTGTGTCGCTGACGTCGAGGTCATTCACTGCGCTCTAAATAACCA